ACTAACTTTCTAAGCTCAAGTAGGCCCGGGACTCACTTTACCGATCTCTGGGGACTCAACTCGGCTATCATTAAGGCGGATTATAAATTTTGGGACTCAGACATCTGTGAAAAATTACATACAATCACATATATCTCCATTACTCTTAAGTATGTACCTTTAGTTTTATAAACATTAGTTTGTTTTATATTTATTAGAAAAAGTGTAACGGTTGGAACCATTATTTCGACACAACCAACTTGATTCGTTGACATCCAAGTCAAAAATAATTCTCATATCACGAATCAAGGAAGAAGAAAACGACAAATGACATTTAGGAGGTGAAAGGTTGTTGTGTCAAAATAACGGTTCCAACCGTTACAAAAGTTAAAAACAATTTTTTAACTTTTGTTGCAAAAAATATATAAATCCAGAATATATCGTGGGCTTACAAGCAAAAGGCACTAAGTCAATTTTTTGGAAAAAAGGGGTTTTAACGGCACTAAAATCAGTAACTGATGATCTATGTACAGCTAAATCGCACTAAGTCCTAAATGAGCAGCGAAGAGAGCTGCTCATTTGACAAAACGCACTAATTTGGTTTTGGTACAAATCGAATTTATGCAAAACGCATTAAGTCCCTTAGTGCTTATTACATTTCGTTGTCTCTTAAAAGTCACGTAGCAATATGCACTAAGTCACTTAGTGCGTTTTACTTGTACGTAACTTCAAACAATATGTTGTTAGCAAAATTAACACTGTGACTTAGTGTTTATGTGTTTGCCGACACGTGCATATCTGTCGTGTTTGTTCGTTTTCTTTTTATGTTTTGCAAGCAAAATTTAAACAAAAAATGTGTAGTCGGGGTGCTAAAATATTAGCCTTGTTGAAAAATAACGAAGAGCAAAGAGAAACAACGCCTGCAGGTGGATTATGAACATCATTTAAGAAGAAAAAACGAATCCCAACAGGCTAAAGCAGAAGACAAGGAGAGGGCAAAAGTGGATGAATCGTTCATGTCAGTAACATTCGATCTACAAAGTGTGCTGCAAATCCCGTCATCTGAGGTATCACTGACGTATTACATGAGAAAATTAACAATGTACAATTTGACCGTTTACGAGGCAGCACCGCCAAATAAAGCTTTTTGTTACTGCTGGACCGAAATAAACGGCAAGGAAGGAAGCTGCGAGATAGGAACATGCTTATTAAAATACATACAAACTTTGTCGCCACAAGTAAAGCATTTATCTTTATTTTCCGATACTTGCGGTGGCCAGAATCGGAATCAGCAAATTGTCGCTTTGCTACTCTATGCGGTTCAAAATTCTCACCTAGAAATTATTGAACAAAAGTTTTTGGAAAGCGGGCACTCATTTATGGAAGTTGACTCCATGCATAGTGCTATAGAGCAGCAAAAAAATTTGTCTCGGTATATTGTGTCAATGATTGGATGAACATTTTCAAATTGGCTCGTTCTCAAAGAGGCAGGAATAAAAACAAACCACCATACGAAGTAGAAGAGATAAAATTCGATCAAATGTTTGACCTTAAACAACTAGCTACCCACTTATTAAAAAATAAAACAATTGATGAAAATGGACAGAAAATAAACTGGCTTAAGGTTAAGAACTTTAAATATATGAAAGATAAGCCAAATTACTTTCAGTACCGGTACGACCATAGTAGTGAGTATGTCGGCATCCAAATTTAAACTACTCGACGTGGAAGAAGACCAGTTCAAGATCAACCGTTTAAAGATGGCTTGCCCAAACTATATCACGAAAACCTAAAAATTAGTAATGCCAAAAAAGAAGACTTGTTGACGATGTGCAATAAGGGGGTAATTCCTGAAATATTTCACCAGTTTTTCCAGAGTATACAATCAGATAAAAAGGTAACAGATACATTGCCAGATGTAGACCTTCAAGACGAATCAGAAGAAGAACCATAATTTTTAAAACATACACAGTTTTTGTTTTTCTTTATTTTTCTGAATAAAAAATTAGGAATGTGATGAGTCTAATTGAAATTTGCTATTAAAACTCTACAAGTAAACTGCACTAAGTCAATGTTTTTTTTTCAAATTAATTCGAATTAAGGTACTTAATTTTTTTTTAATTAATTTTAACCGATACATAAGTACGACCCAACATAAAAGTTTAATTAACAGTAGTTTATTTTAAAATATAATTATTACAAAAATTAATAATTAGGATTAAAAGTTAATTCTAACCATATCTCAAAATGATCTTTTATGACTTAGTGCTCTTTGCTTGTAAGCCCACGATATTATAGTCTCAACTTTGAACTGAATTTATAGTCCTATCTCTGGAAAACAGGGGAAGTCTTTTTATTTGTTTATTTAAAATAATTTACATTAAAATAAATTCTCCTGTAATTCTGTCTTTAGTTAAATTTAATGTTTCATCTAGAAGAACTCAGTGTACATTATTCCATATTCTGTTAGGTATACATTGTGTCCGTAAAGTATGAAACAAATTCATTTTTAGCTAAACAGACCATTTTAAGAAATAATCCTGAAACACGTCGATTTTTGATTTTAATTTACCGTATTTTAAAATAATAATCTAATATACAGGGTGAATTACTTTCGAGTAATGACGTCACCGTATTTTTTTTTAAATGGAACACCCCCATTTTGTCTCAATTTTCGGATTACTCTAGCTGAGCTGATTCCAAAAATGTATCACATGTTGAATCCAATTGGTACAGGGTGGACTTGTGGTCTAGCAGACAGAATATGAAAGAAATTATTTCTTATCAATTTTGAAAAAACATAGTCGTCTAGTTTTTTGTGAAATGTCATTATTTGTTTAGTAATTTATTGATGTTCAGTGACAGTTTAGTACTACAATATTTTTGGTATTCGTGAATGTTTTAATTATTGCTTAGATTTAATTTGAATTAGAAATGGAGTTAAGTGTAAAACAAAAAATTGAAATACTTATGATGATTGGGTATGGAGACAGATCACGAACTCAAATGGAAGTGTGCAATTTGTTTAATGATAAATATCCAGAAAGACCTATAACGCGTTCAACAGTCAGTAAGATTGAAAAGAAATTTCGAGAAACTGGTACGATTGAAAATGTACGCAAATCAGGTCGTCCCTCTGCAAATGCTGATACAGCATTAGTTGTTTTACTTAGTTTTGAAGAAGACGCGCATACTTCTGTGCGTAAAGTTAGTCGCGATATCGGTGTTAGCAAAACAACGGTACACAAACTATTAAAGCTTGAAAAATGGCATCCTTATAAAAACAAACTTGTGCAGGAATTAAACGAAGATGATCCCGATAGAAGAATCCAATTTTGCGAAAAAATGATAGATAAATGTCACCGAGACCCTCTCTTGATACAAAACATTATTTTTTCTGATGAGGCCACTGTAGCATGTTAGACTTATAAGACTTTTAGTTACAATGTATAGTTAGAGTTTATTCATTGTATGTGGTAACTAAAGATTCATAAAACAATTTTGAAAGATTAGAATATTGTCAAATAAAAAGAAAATATTAATTTGTACGTCCATCAATTAATATTAATATCCCAACGAAGATATTTGTGGGATAAGGAACATCATACCCCCACAGCCACTTTCACGTTAAATGGCGAGGTTAACCGTCAGAATTGTAGATACTGGGCAAAAGAAAATCCCCACTGGATGCGTGAGTATCATACACAATACCCGCAAAAGGTAAATGTATGGGCTGGAATTGTAAGAAATCGAATCATCGGACCCTACTTTTTCGAAGGTAATTTAAACGGGGCAACGTACCTTGAGTTTTTAAGGGGATATCTCGTACCTACTTTGCGTAATTTGTTTCCCAGCAGACGTAATCCTGGAGGTTGTGATGAAAGTTTATGGTTTTAACAGGATGGTGCACCTCCACATTATGCTGTAGATGTTAGAAGGTACCTAGATGAAATTTTTCCGAACAGGTGGATTGGTAGACGTGGACCTATCGAATGGCCAGCGAGGTCACCAGATTTCAATCCTTTGGATTATTTTATGTGGGGCGATCTGAAGAATGTTGTGTATCAAACGAAACCAGCAAATATTCAATAATTAAAAGAGAGAATTCGGACAACAATAAACAATATTTCTCAAGACACAGTAAATAAGGTTCAACAAGAATTTGTACACCGTTTGGGTTACTGTCAAATACAGCAAGAGCTGCAGTTCGAACATTTATAAAGTCATGTATTTCATCATATTCTGTCTGCTAGACAATAAGTATTTTTGATAATATTGTTAATTTAACTAATAAAGAATATTTCGCGTTACTTTATGAGCACACACAAAACTATTGTATTTTTGCCCACCCTGTACCAATTGGAATCAACATGTGATACATTTTTGGAATAAGCTCAGCTAAAGTAATCCGAAAATTGAGACAAAATGGGGGTGTGCCATTTAAAAAAACATGACGGTGACGTCATTACTCGAAAGTAATTCACCCTGTATATTAGATTATTATTTTTAAATACGGTAAATTAAAATCAAAAATCGACGTGTTTCAGGATTATTTCTTAAAATGGTCTGTTTAGCTAAAAATGAATTTGTTCCATATTTTACGGACACACTGTATACAACCACTAGGACTCCACTTGTGATTATGTGTCATTTAGTAAACTATTATAATACCATGGTTGATATAGACTGGACTTTTTCACAGAATTTTTTTTCCTAAAATCGTTCTACAGCAAATTGCTAATATCACAGTTTAGTATTAGTTTTTTACTTCTATTGTTAAAATTATTAAGTAATAATGTTAAATTGTTAATATTTTCATTATTAAAATATTAGACCCTATGAGTCTGTTTGAATACAAATAAATAATGTTTATTTATTTCTTTTACAAGTCTTATAAATGTGATAAACAATAAAATTTAAATTTTTTTTTAACTTTGATATTTTGTACGATTAATAAGGCTTCTAAATATACATAAATAAAATGTCTTTGAACTATGTATAAAATTATATATTTTACTTACTTTAGTTGATTCTGGGAAGACAAAAGCACGAGCAATTTCAAGGTTTTTCTTTAATGAAGAAAAATCTGTAACTTCTGCACCCATTTTGTAAAACTCGTTATTTGGCTCATCCAATGAATCCACTTTTACACCAAATGCAGTTGTGGCTATGACATCATTAGCAAAACGAGTTGAAACGTTTACCATTTCTACTTCGACAATGTCTTGATTATTTTTTAAAAAATAGTTAACCAAGTTTTCCGCACAATCGTCCATCAAGTTAAACATTATTTTCATTTTGTTGCTTGTAAAGGAAGGACTGAGAATAGGTCTCATTGTTTTCCATTCTTGGCCTGGAATAAGTATTAAACATATTTATTAGGTAATTAATATTTTTATCATTGTTATTGTTTGTATATTTGTTGTAAAATAAATAGAATTGAGTGAATAATTAACTATGACTCACCTTCTAATGAAAATAAATTTCTACCCCATAAGGGATCACTATAATATGGTGGTACAATTCGTCTGTGGTCAGTAAAGTGATCAAATTCTTTAACAGTTATTTGCTTTAACAATTTTGGATCCTTTAACATCAAAGTTGGTAAATTGAATTGATAAAATCCAAAGTATCTAAAAAATACAGTGTTGACCACTTTGAGTAACGGTTTGATAATTTTTTTCATGGCAAACTAGTATAAAGCTAAACTAAAATATTCGTACACATAAGGTTGTATTGATAGTAAGGTTAAAAATTTGATAGTTTTCTAAATATAAGACAGTAATCTTAGTTTAGGTTGCTCTGGTAATATCTCTCATAATGTAATAATTTCCTATACTTTTAATTGATTAATAATCGATAATTATACACCATACTAATAGCTAATAATCACGATAATTTCTATGAAAATGTGCACCTGGATAAAAATATACCCTCTAAGACAGTATTTTGACATATTTTAGCGTTAAAATTAGCTAACTTAGGAAAAAGATTATTATTTGTCAACTTTGAATTTTTTTTATTTTTAAATTATCAATTTTTTGTTTTGTTAACTGTGCCTTCAATAGGGTAGGTAGGTGAAGTGGGATGAAAATATTATTTTTAACGTAAAAGAAAATTAAACAGTTAAGAATGATATTCAAAAATCTCACATAAAACATTTTCTCAAATCAAAATATTATTTTTAAAAACCCTGTTTTACTTTGGTCCCTTTCGTTAATAAGGTGACTTTGTCATTCAGACTTGATATTATTTATAGCTTTATTTAGTTATTTTCATCAGTGGTGGTCTAGCGTTGGGAACAAGAGTATCGTCAGTTGTCATTTTTTTTGTGGAAAAAAGTGCACGTACGGTAAGCCTAATGCCTCACTTTTGTTCATGGGAATGTTTATGAAAACAAGTCACTGCACTACATATCGTCGGTGAAAGTGCAATACCTCGTATTTGCAACTTTTGACGAAAATCGCTTTATTTTTCTATTGGAAACTGCGCATGTCTGCATACATACGTACAAAGTCCTGTATTAGTCAATATTGTCGATATTTTTACTTTAGCGATACATCTGACGCACAAAACCATGTATTTGACAACAGCGATCAAATACGAGTTATTGTACGTCATCACAATACTTCACGTCATTTTGTATATGTCATTGATCGTTCTTTTGAGTCTGGGATAATACATCAGACAGTGCCGACAGCCAAGTTTACTTTTTGTGTTTTATTTTAATTATAGTTGCTACTCCATTATTAGTAAAAGCTTATTATGTGAACTTATTATGTGAATGGGAAAACATTGAGGTAAGTTATGTTTTATTGTAGTATTTCTCTGAAAATTAATAACAATCGCTCAATTGTAACATGTCAGGTTATGATATTTTTAAATAATCAATTATCGTCGCTGCGCCTGCAAAAACCGCTATGTGCACTTTTTCCCTAAACGTGATTTTTTGCGCCCTTCATATTTAACAGCAAGACCTACCGTCTTGTAGTTTTGTTGACGCCCACAGTAATATAGGTTTTTCTCAAATGCCAAACCATAAAATCAGCCATGTGCCGTCTATTTAAAATGCGCTTTCAAAAACCGTTATGTTCACATAGCGGATTTTTCCAGTTGTTATTGTTTTATCTGCGCCGCCGCACATGGATGATTTTACAGTAGGATGAAATTATACAACAATTGATGTAATTTTACTGAAGAGGCAAGCAAAACTATTTTCAATGGATTTTGGAAAATACAAAATTGGAACGCTAAGAAAGCCTATTTAAGAGGTCTAACTGATTTTCGAATTCCCAAGGGAAGGAGAGCTGGAATTAATAATAATGATAATAATACTCTCCCTAATTCACCCCCTTACGAGTGAATTTTAACCCCAAAAGCTAAGCGTGTGCGGGAAAAGGGACGGCTATTATTATTATTTGCCGTGGCGCTCCGGGGCGACTTAAAGATGACTGATGGTGCCATTTGACTTACAAGTGAGGAAAACCCGGAAAACCTCACCCACCATCATCGAGACGGTAATGTATGGCGATTTTTTTAAATCTGCATGTCATATCAACAAAAATTGAATTTCTATTAATACGGCAAACATCAAATCCTATACCGAACCATGCAATTTAATTAAAAATTTACATGGTCTGGTCTGGGATTCGAAGCCCAGCAGTCTCTGACACATAAACTTGCTTATAAATAAATATAAGCGCGTTAGACCGCTACACTACCGACCCGATACGATTGAAATGGAAACGGCAAAAAAGAAATATAGTTATGACTGTTACTTACCAGATGCTAGTGGAATTAAGTTACGGGTATGTCGTGATTTTTTCTTATCCACTCTAGATTTGAAAAAGAATTGTTTTAACATCTGGTTAAAAGAAGAAGCTACAAGTAGAAATCATGATTAAGGCGGAAATGAGAGATCAGAAAAAGAAAGTACTGTAGAGGGAAAAAATAAAGGAAAAATAGAAAAATCTAGTGAAACAAATAGAAAAAATCTAGTGCACTGGTACGTGGTCAAATGAGATACCGAAAGTTCCTAGTCATTACTGCCGATCTAATACTTCAAGAGTTTACGTGGAATCAAGCTTCAGATTAATGGTCCACATGCATAGTGTGTATAAGGAATGGTGTAGTGAATCAGGGGTCCCTTCAGTAGAACGTAAAAAGTTTTGTGAAATTCTGGAATCTCAAAAAATTTCAATACATAACCGCGCAAAGACCAATGCGACACATGTGTTGCTTTAAAGGAAGGCAATTTGACACAGAAAGAGTATGATTTTCATGTATTAAAAAAAAGATGAAGCTCGAAATGCTAAACTGCAATGTCTTTAGCATCGGATAACACGCTGGTTTTTACTATGGACGTGCAAAGTGTTTTGACTTGTCCAAAGCTACTTGTATCCAGTCAGTATTATAAACAATTTTACAATCTATGTCTCCAATAATAAGGATGTGCACATGTACATCTGGCACGAAGGTGATGGTTCCGTCTCATCTAATGAATTCACAACGTGTATAACCCATTTCGTAAAAATGAATTCTAATTTTAAAAAAATCATAATGATTTCAGACTGATGGCCTACCAAAACAAAAACTGAGTATTGGCTAGTGCTCGTGCTCTAGCCAATATATCAAGGGACGCCAACATGGAAATTCACCAGATTATATTGGAAAAAGGGCATAAAATAATGGAGGTGGATAGTATAGACTCTACGCTCGAGAAACTTTTCTCACCACCTATTTACACCCCACTTGATTATATTAATCGCTTGGGACAAGCAAGACCACAACAGCCATACATTATAAATCATGTAGATTACAATTTTTTTTTTATATTTTGAAGAAATACCAAGTAATTATTCCAGGAAAAAAGCAGGAGACCCAACAGTCACAGACTTTCGCGGTTTGCTTTGTAAAAATGGGGACGTGTTTTTCAAACTACGACATACTGAAGACTGGCAATAATTACCACAGCGAAAAAGTAAATTGAAACAACGTGACCCTGTAAACCTTTATCAGGAACCGTTAAAAATTGAAAAGAGGAAATTTGACAATCTGCAGTCTTTAAAACCATTTATGCACAGAGATTATCAAATTTTTTATGATTCATTGAGTCATCAGTAATAATAATCGGCTATAGAACATTTAATTTTTGGAATCTTTCTTTTTTAATGAACCTTACTGTTTTTGTATTCTGAGAATAAAATAATAATTGCTTGATTCTTTGAAAAGTGTTTCAAATAATTTTCGTTTAAACTTTTGTAAACAAAAACCGCCATGTGTTTAAAAGGCGCAAGTAAAAGTAGCTATGTGATGCAGAAAATTGAATATATTTTTTAACCACATAATGTATTTCTATTTTTAGGACCTTTTTGTTACATGATCCTTGGTTAAAATCTTTACCTCCCTAGCTTTATCATTTTAACATAAATCAAGAAAAGTATTAAGGAAAAGGTTTTTTTCTGTTCCCCTGTACAATATTGCTATTTGTACATAGCGTTTTTTGCAGGCCCATCGACGTTGTCTTGTTCACTAAACAAACAGGTGCCTCACCAGAACCTTTCATATTAAAATCTGCATTAATTACTTTATTACTAGGTATAAAACTTTATAATACTCAATTTATTTTTTTTTTTTCAGAATTTGCAAATACGAGGTTTTGCACCATTACTTCGAAATTATGGATAAATCTAAATTGGGGCCTAGACAAACTTCCAGAGGCAGATATTTGGTAGAATTGGCTGCTTTAAGTTTCCAGACTTCTGAGGTTGTAGGAAATGTGGCAAATAATATGCAGGGAAAGGAAGACTATCAAGGAAAATGTCCAAGCTCTGTGAACCTAGATGAAATTCCAATAATTTTTTTACCTGATAATGAAAGTTTTTCATTACAAACTGAAATTGCAGAGTTAGAGAATCTTGGCAATCTACCAGAAATCAGTTCTTAGACAGTAATTTATATCCAGAAATAAATGTTCCAGAAATTCAAAATCATAATGACGATATCGTAAATACTAGCAACAATGAGACCGCCACAGGCCAGGAAGTTAATAACAATGGAGCAGAGATTATGGGCGAGACAAAAAATGATGAAAACATGGTAGTTGAGGAATATTCCAGCTTAGCATTACAAGAATATACTCCAAATCAGGAAGTCAATCTGTTGGAAAGAGTTTTGTCGGGCTCGGAAATGTCAGATTACAGCTTAATAGATCCAGATTTTGTAGAAACATTCGAGAGCTCTAGTTCAGAAAACACCGAAAATAATGTAGTAAAAGGAGAAATAGAACAAAAAGCAGATGACGAAAATAGGACGTTTAAGCGAAAGTTACCTCAAACGAGAAGAGCCAGAGATCAAAACAAAAGATCTAGAATGCATGGCGAAGAGTATTTAGGCCTTAAAAAGGATGATGATGGACACTAATTAATGGCTCAGAAAAATGAACGTTTTTTGAAACCTGAATGTTACTCTCAGAAATGCAGAACTTCAAAATCCATATTTTGTAATGAATTCAAAGAAGATGAAAGAAAACAAATTTTCAAGTTATTCTGGGAGCTGACATGGGATATGAAGAAAACTTTTTTGAGTACAATGGTCAATGTGATCCCCAGCAAACAAAAAGTAGAAGGATCCAGAAGAAGTGGTACTCTTCACTACTATTTGAAAAAAGGAACAGAGAAAAAGAAGGTCTGCAAGAAGATGTTTTTGTCAACATTAAATGTAGGAGAATGGATGGTTAGACAGTACGCTAAAAAAGACAATGGAATGAACATGCCTACATGAAAAATATTGCAGATGAGGAAGATTTAAAGTACCAGGAAAAAAAGAACAGGCTAGAATTTCGAAAAATGAAGATAAAGACAAAGATAACCCCAAAGATATAGCTGCTTTTTGTGAAATTATCTCCAGTTCTCCAAGCCAGTGCAATTTATTACAAAACGAAGCTTTGCGTTCATAATTATACAATTTACAAGATGGGCACTGAGGATGTAATATGTTACCTTTGGGACGAATTTCAAGGAGGACTGGAGGCTAATATTTTCCCACTATATTGTCAGAATTTTTCTCCAGTTATTTCTTGGAAAATAATTCAACAAAATAATTCATAATCTATAGCGATGGATGTGGTTATCAAAATAAGAATGCCACACTTTCAAATGCTCTCCTCCATTTTGCCATAAAAAATAAAGTTACTATTACTCGTATTATCTTCAGAAGGGACACACTTAGATGGAGGTAGACTCTGTCCATAGTACGATTGAAAGGCGGCTTAAAAATCGTGATATTTACTTGCCTCACGACTACATTGCAGTTTGTAAGGAATCAAGAAGAGGAAAACCTTACAATGTAAGATAAATGAGCTACACGGACTTCAAAGATTTTAAAAATATCCAGTTCTATCCATCTATCAGACCAGGTCGTAAGCTTGGCGAAAAAGGAATTATGTCTATTTATATTTTAATTAATTGAATTAAATAAAATTCCTGTCATGTGGGGGATTTTGTGGTCGTAGGAAAAATATCGTGTGATTGACAATACTTCCTTCCCACTCGTGTGTAAAATGTCACTTTCCACACTCGTAATATAATATGCTATTTATTGTGTATTTAAAACTAAGACGAAAATATTTAATTAGTCAAGTAGGAGTTTCGACTTAATAATAGTATATTGTATTACGAGTGACGAATGTAAAATTTTTTGAAGTGAGATAACAATTTACCAGCCGAGGTTGGTAATGTTCACGAGCTTCAAAAAATGTTTTCGACGAGCGAAACACTATACTTTTTCTACAACCCTGTTAATATTAATATACTAAAAAAGAACAAAGTTTCCGAAAATGAATTTACGTTATTGTCAACTCTCCAATCCATAAATTTTGCATATATATCTTGATATCTCTATTTAAATATTACTGATAATAAATCCAAAGGGGTTTCCTCAGCTTAATTTGCTATTTCTGCTGATGTATTTAATAAATCTAAAGCACATTCCGAATCATAAACCATGATAACTTAAAAAAACTAACAATGCTTTCAGTACAAACTGTTAAGTCTAAACAATTAACGAGGGACTAATTAAACCAGGCAACTAAATATAAATTGTTTTTAAATCTCACGGTATTTTTACGATTCTATTTTGCTTTTTAATTAAAGAGAAGTAAAAAAATGCATTTTGTCTTTGTTTATTAATAATTTAAAGTCGCCAAAACATTATATACGAGAGCGAGAAATGATTGAAAATATAAATTTAACTTTCGTCACTAGAGACGAAAGTTAACGTTATGAAAATGTTTCTCACTTGTGATGAAAATCACGCTAAAGCGTCGCGCGGCAACTTTCTGTCTGAACTGCTAAAGTGCTACTTTCTGCTCTCAATACACAAATAGTTATTTTACAGCCTTCTTCCTCAGTAAAAAATGCATATATCTGAAACTGCTTAAAACTTTTCCATTGTTGGATGTAAAGTTTTTAAATTATTATAAAAAAATGTGCTTACCTAGAGTTTGGTTCCATATTATAAATTCTCTTAAATAAATCAACAACAGTCTCTTTTCTGAAGACATTTCTTAGATTATCTCCAAACCACCAAACCGGAGTTGATTGTTTTGCTCCTCTTTTTTTCCAATAACTCATCGGTCGTATTCCATAATAATAAAATACAAATACGACCACTAGACCTAACAAAATCAGTGAGAGCGCCATTGTTGTAATCTTCCAATATTAATTTAATCTGTAAGAAGAAATGATTTGTAAGTCACCTTTGTTTTTTCTATCTACAATATTCTACATGTAATATTGCCTTGCATAAGTCCTAGAGCTGAGGGTAAAAGAATATGCCTTATAAGATAATAAAAGTTTGCTGTAAGAAGTAAATATGTAATAATGCCACCCCATAATAGTTGCCTTCAAGAAAAAATTTAAAAAAAATCCTTTTTAATTAAGTAGTTACTACCAGGATCACATTCAGGCCAAAATAAATAGATGAGCTAAATAAATGAGGAATGTGTAATTCTGCCACGTAAGACGGTCCCTTTGGGAAGTAGACAGGGTTGAAGTGAACTTCCCTATAAAATGTCAAAATCAAATACATTTCTTTAGTTTCAATAAAATCGAAAGAAATTGGAGTTAGGTCACTTTCGTTCTCAGCAGTCGGCATACATTATCTTGTTAGGCGAAAGTGACTTGAAACTCACGATCTGTAAAACGATGTATAATTTCTACAAAGTTTAATATTCTTGTACCAGATTGTCTTCTTTTTTCTCCTTAATAATTCTATTAATTCCTTGCTTTCTAAATCAGATTCAGCATAAGAGTGTGAATCTCCTTGAAAGAATGTTTTAAAATAATTTATAGCTTGTGTAAACAATAATCCAAAAAGGACCCCGCACTATTTATTATGATTTTGGGTACTGTCAGGATTTGTTCAAGTTTTTGTATGTTATTTTTAAGTCATTAAGGACAACTTTCTTATGGTCCCTAATTATGTACCTCTACAGGGTAAGTTGTTAAAAGAAGGTAAAAGTAAGGAATGCAGAATTAATATTTTACATATATCTTTCCTTGTAAAATTATTCATATTTTTCCCATAAAACTTATAGTATGTGTTACACTTGTATATATTTTGTTAATGCTTACCTTCATTTGTAAAATAAATGATACAAAAAAAAATCACTGTTCAAAAATATAGAAATATTAATTACTGAAATAAAATGTATTAACATAATTAGACTATCACTATTTTTGGACTTCCCACTGATTATAAATCACTAAAAAATAAACTGCATTATTAAAAAACTGTTTTATTGTATACATTAATTATTTACACACTATCAAAATCTGACTAATCTTTCAGCAGTATCTAAAATAGTCATTAATAAATAATCCAATCAAATAGACCTTTCCATCAAAATTTTGGAGGAAATACAGGAATTTTTGATATAAGTCACTTTAGAGTATTTGATAACGATAGGTAAAAAAAATTTGTTTTTCAGGCACCGGCAAATGTCAAAAAACAAGAAAAGTGTTTTTTTGAGGTTATTTAAACTGACAGAGTTAGGGTGGTTAGAAATTAGGAAGAGATATATATGACTTGGAAAAATCATAGCGAGCTGAAAATTCAATTATTTTGTAGTTTCTTTTTATTATTTTCTCAGAAAATTATAAATTACTTTTAGGATTTTTTTTTGTTTTTTTGAGTTATAACAATTTATATTTAGAAATTTTCAATATATTATACGAATTTATATGGTAAAATAAATTTTGAAGTAAACTTATTATCTTGACTGACATGAAAAATATGAGGAGTGAACTTATAAAAACGATATCCCGACAGTTTGGGACCCACTTAAAGTTGCATTAAATAAATAAAAATAAAAACAAACAAAAAAAGAACTAAATAAAAATATTAAAAAAATAAAAATAAATATAAAAAATTAATAAATAAAAATAGGTAATTTAAAAAATATATAAAAATAAGTAAATAAAAATAAATATATAAATAAAATTAAACAAAAATAAATGAAAAGATAAGTATAAAAGAAAATAAATAAAAATAATAAACTAAATATAAATAAAGAAAAAATAATTAAAAACAAATAAAAATAAATAATAAATAAATAAAATTGAATAAAAATAATTAAAAATGGTTAAAAAAAATTAAATAAAAATGAATAATTTATTAAAAATAGAAATTAAACAAAAATAAATAAAAAATAAGAAAGTGAATAAAAATAAATAAAAAAATGAATAAATTATTTATTTATTTCATTTTATTTATTTTTGTTTAATTTCTTTTTTAATAAATTACCTATTTTTATTTATTTTTTTAACTATTTGTAATTATTTTTATTGTTTTTTATTTTTGTTTTTTTATTATTTTTATTTATTTTATTATTTCTTTGCATTTATTTTTTATTATTTGTTATTTTTAATTTGATTAACTATTATTTTTTGGTTTAAATTTTTGTTTATTTTTTTTATTTTTTTTTATTTCATTATTTATTTTTTATAAATAAATAAAAATTAATATTTTTTTATTTTTGTTTAATTTTTATTTATTTATCTTTTCATTTATTTTTGTTTAATTTTAATTTTTAATGAATTACCTATTTTTATTTAATATTTTTTAACTATTTGTAATTATATTTATTTTTATTTATTTTTGTTTTATTGTTTTTTTATTTTTATTTATTTTTATTTATTTTCTTTTACACTTATCTTTTCATTTATTTTTGTTTAATTTTATTAATTTTTTATTATGTTTTGTAACAAGATGATTGGCTATAAGCGAGAGCCGGCAAAGCCGCCATCCATGTAGTGCCGAAAGACATTGCATAATATTAGACAGTATTGTTTTAAGCTTTTAAGAGTTCATTCCCTTCAGGTCGAAACTTATATTTTCATAATTGTTTAAACCCGGTATTCATTTGTTTATTCTTAATAACCATTGTTATTCGTTTCAGTTTTGTGTTTTGTAAGTGATTAAAATTATTAATGCTAAAGGAACTTTGTTTAAACCGGCATCCACAACTTATTTGATACTAAGTGTCATAGTTTTATTTTTAATAATTTACCTAATTTTATTTGATTTTTACGGAAGCGTAGAAGGGCCAATTTTTAAATAAAATAATTTTTCTGTAAAATTCCGAGTTGCAACTCGGAATTTTGTATAATTCCGAGTTGTAACTCGGAATTTTATATAATTCCGAGTTGTAACTCGGAATTTTGTATAATTCCGAGTTGTAACTCGGAATATTGTATAATTCCGAGTTGTAACTCGGAATTTTGTATAATTCCGAGTTGTAACTCGGAATTTTGTATAATTCCGAGTTGTAACTCGGAATATTGTATAATTCCGAGTTGTAACTCGGAATATTGTATAATTCCGAGTTGTAACTCGGAATTTTGTATAATTCCGAGTTGTAACTCGGAATATTGTATAATTCCGAGTTGTAACTCGGAATTTTGTATAATTCCGAGTTGTAACTCGGAATTTTATATAATTCCGAATTGTAACTCAGAATTTTAATTATACAGCTATTTTTAGGTAGGTACCTACACATCACATATAAATTAATAAAACTACATACAATCGTATTATATGCGTGTTTGGGATAATTAACCTTGTATTGCGTTTTGTTGATCTTTAATGTGTAATTTTTTTATGTGAATAAGTATGTCAACGAATCAGGTAAGGTTATGATTTATTGTTCTAGGCAGTGCTAATTTTTGTTATTTATAATTACATTTTTTATAGAATACCTGCGACTTGATTGAAAAATACTTTCACTTAGGGTTTCAACAAAAGGAAATACTTGCCTTTTTGCGAAACTTACATAAAATTTGTATATCACACCGAACTCTTAAGAGGCTTCTGTCAACTTTAAATCTTTACATAAGAAAAAACTATTCTAAAATTGAAGATGTTGTTAATTACCTTGAAAATGAATTATTAACATCTTCTAATTTGCATGGATATAAATGGATGCATTTAAAATGCATTTAAAATAACATAAATGTACCACAAGAGGTTGTACGAGAATTACTTCTACATTTGGATCCATATGGTGTTGCCGTACGAAAAAAAAGGAGACTAAGAAGAAGACAATATTTTAATAAGGGTCCGAATTATCTTTGGCATATGGACAGTTATGATAAATTAAAGCCATATGGCATATGCATTAATGGTTGTATTGACGGATTTTCCCGTCACATTATTTATCTTCAAGCAGGTTCTACATCCAGTGATCCTAAGGTAACTTTTTATTAAAAAAATATTTAAATATTTTTTAGGTCACTCGCTATGCAATTTAACGAAACATCGATAATAAATTATTGTTAGATATTTTATTTATCTCGTTTATCGTAGGTTGTAGCTGGATACTTTTTGCAAGGTTTAGAACAAGTTAATGGATGCCCTAAAACTTTACGATGTGACCTTGGTACAAAAAATAGAGTAGTAGAGAGAATACAGAATTCCTTGCACCAATTATTCAATGAAAATCCAGGCAATAAGCCTTGTTTATTGTATGGGAAAAGCTGTCATAATCAAAGAATAGAATCATGGTGGGGAATCCTTCGCAAACATTGTTCTCAGTTTTGGATGAACTTATTTGAAATGTTGAAGGAGGACAATTATTTCGGTGGTACTTTTATAGACAAATCTTTGATTCAGTTTTGTTTTATGGAGTTAATTCAGGTAAATTTATTTCATAGTAAATATTTTTTGGGATGAAATTAATAACTCTTGTTTTATTTTATGTCGAAATACTTTTTCTGGAGAACTATCAGTTAAAAAAAATACAATAACATGTGTATGTTACGTACCTTGTTTTGAATTAATATTTAAATTCTAAAAGTATGCTATTAGCAATTCACTGCAATTTATTTATTTTACATAAAATTTTAGTAGACTGTGGATTTGCGAAAAAACTAAAAACTAAATTTTACTTACCTTTACGGGGGAAGTGGTGGCTAGAATTTTTTTTATAGTACTGAACCCTCATAATTTTTAACGAGAAAGCTCCCCATGATTTTTTTTTCACATGACTTCAGAAACAGCCTATATAGTGTTGGCAAGATCAAACCTTCGGTTCTGTCTTGCTTGTGTTAAAGTGTCCAGGAGTACAAAATAAATAAAATTCCATATCTTAAATGTGAGATGCAGCATAATAAAGGACTTACTGTTTTAGAAAAATTTGGACCAAGTAGTGTTGGAGTGGAATATTCATAAAATTAGACGACTGAAAAATACAGTTTCACCTTCAGGAAGACCGTGCATTATGTACGAAATGCCATCAATTTATAAGACACGCAGTTATATGGTTGGAGTGCCAAATTTTGCGATTGAAGCCCTAAGATCCGAATGCAAATTTCTAAAATATCCTTGCGATCAAGATGTGTTTGATTTATGCAATATTCTACTAGTTGAAAATAATTGGGAAAAAGGATCAGATCCACACGAAGCTGTTGATTTATATATACAATTAAGAAATGTATTAAAAAGTATACTTAACATATAAAAATACTGTAGAATTTTAAATATATCTTTTTGATGTTTTCTTTTTTTTATTTTAAAAATTATTCAAATTTTGTTGTATTTCATTTGTTAGTTTATTGAAAATATTTCACCATAGCAATATTACACTTTTAGATAATTTATCATAAGCGTGCAGCATAACATCAGCAGGGCTAATGTCACTTCCTCTGTGTATTTAAAACTGTAGTCATGTTAAAATTGCGCGTAATAGAATTATCATAAGGCAACATAAAAAGCAAAGTACCATCTGTATCTGTAATAATCATGGCATACCAGAATCATTTTTAAACTCAAACATAAAAAAAAAACACATTTTCTGTTTTTTATTAAAATAAATATTTATTTCAAGTGTTGTGGCTAAGCCAACAATAAAAACAATATCTTACAGACTACAAAATGGTCCTACATATTTAAAACAATAGAAACATTATTATTTGGGAAATAAAAAAAAACAACTTTTTATTAAACTATTAGTTTGTAGAGTTCATCAAATGCAAAACAATAAATTTCAAAAAAATGTGGTTGCTAAACCATACATAAAAACCATGTCCAACAGACAATATGGTCCTACAAATTTAAAAACAGGTAAAAACACATTATTTAAAAAAATAGTGATAAAAAACCTCTAAATAAACATTCCCTAACCATATTAGTTTAGAGAGTTCGACAAATGCAAAAACATAAAAAAACATTTTCAAAAACATAAAAAAGTAATGTCATAATCTTGACCCATATAAATAGGTATAAAATAATTTTAAAATAATCCTCAAATCTCTCACAAATACTCATGTTTTAATAGAATTGTTGCAGGAGTTATTCAAATTTGAGAAATGTACCCATCTATGCCCTAAATAATATCCATCACCCAAATATTTGAGGACAATAAATTGGTAAATTCATCCCTAAAACTTATATAATCCTCGTACGACGTTGGTATTTCTAATAAACCAGAACAAGTGTGTGCAATTGGGCTCCTCTGGAACCCATCGGTGCTTATAAACTCAATTTTTTGATGAATTTTTTTAAAAAGTTGTATGTTTGTATTTTTTTGCTGTCTAAATTTTCTTCAATTTCAAATATTAATAATATATTTTTAACTGTCGGTTTTAAACGGTCATACAGCATTTCCAGATTTATTTTATTACTTATGGATTGAAACGATGACGAAAAACAGTTTCTAACATAAGAAGGTTTTTGTATAAGCTCTTCTTTAGCTATTTGTAAAATAAGTTTTTTAAAATTGTCCTTTTTTGGGATCCATTTTGCGTCATATGTACTACAAAATTCTATAATATCATCATCATCGACATTAGAAAAATTTTCTAACGCTGATTTTATCAGGCTAGTTTCTGTTTCAGAAACGTATTCAAAAAAATTGTTTAATATATCATCATCTGAAATATCATTTTCGAAACAGTTTTTAATAAAGACTGGAGCTAAATAACCGGCGACACAAATTTTACCAATAATAATCCACTCCTCTTCTTGAAAATCGTGTCTTAATGCGGGAACTTTATAAGATCTACCAAGGGTGCATTTTGCATAAAAAGTTTCCCAAAATTCACTAATTGCGTCCCTTAAGACCCCGCCTACATCTTCAGCCCTTTCAGGTTTTCCATTTGGTAAAATCAATTCTATTTTAATATTTAAAAAATTCTTTATGTTATGGACCTTCATGCAGTCAATCAATTCCGAAAAGACTCTACCTCTGTGTAATACTAGAATATAATTATTATCGACATCTTGTGGGGAAGCTAGAAAACCATTTGATTGCTCAGATTCGATTATCTAAAAAGAAGAATTTTTTAAAAATATTCTAACTAGTTCTTTCATTAGGAATAGTCTTTATTTTTGGTTCTTATCGCACTTTTTTAAAAACATTTGGACAGTATCATTTTGTTTTAATGGAACCATATTTAATAGGTTCCTGTTTTTATTAACCTACAACTTTAATGCCAAAGTACGGTTGCTAAAATCCTTAAAAATCCACTTTATAGGAATATTGCTTCCTAAGAAAAATTACTATTATTAAATATTAACCCCTTTCCATCAACCCTAAAGTAAAGTAGCCAAATATATTAAATATTTTAAAAAAATTATAAGTTCACTAATTCCTTTTAAAGGAATTCATGAACTTCTTAAAACACTCGTACTTTTTCTCAAAGCGCTTAGATCAGTTGAGGTTTATTGGTTTGTTTTTTAATTTTTATCTTCTTAAACTCCCAGTTTTTGAATGATTTTTAAATTTTTAAATGTCTAAAGTAGTTTACCAAAAACAGATTCCTATTAAAACAAAATATAACATGTCCCAACATTTTTAAAAAAAGTGCGTGAAGTGCCTACCCGATAGAACTTTTTTGTTATTGTTCGTTTACCCTATAGATACTATAAAATACTATACATACTTGATCCAAATTGGCTTCAAAGTCAGTTAATCCGTCTTCTAAAAAATCTAACAACTCATTAGTATTACTTATCGTAGTATCTATTGTAGTTTCTATTTCAGCCATTTGTGATTCTAGTTGTCGTTCTTCTTCTTCTTCGATGGCTTCTTTTACTAAATTTTCAAAATTATTGACTTGAGAAAATCTTTGTGAACGCAATGGATGCATAGCGGTGCCAGGCGGTTCATTTTCATCTTCATCTGAAGAATTAGCATCATCTTTATATATAGTTGACAAATAAAACCTTAAAGTTGTTAAGGCCGAAATGTCGTACATTTCATGAATTGTTAAATTTAGATCGCACTTTAGCCGTTGGTAATCTAAAAGTTCGTAATTAAATAAGGATATATCTCCTTTGGCCGACATTCCATTAGGAAAAAATAGAGTTATTGCTTTTTCCAAAATATGAGTGCACATTAAATTTCCATCGACAGAAAGTCTACGAGTTCCTCCTCCTTTTTGAGTTCTTACATATTTAAGTTCATTATTTTTTTTACTATTACAAATCCATCCTATTTCGATGATTCTTGTTTGTTTCTTTCTTCGTTTGGGAGCTACTTTATTTCCTTGATCTTTTTTTGCATCTTTGTCTGATAATTTTAATTTTAATTTTTCAATTAAACTTTGTTTTTTTCCTGTATTCATTTTTTTACAGAAACTTACTATGGCAATTCTATCGCCGTATTTAGGAATAATTTTTTTTAATTCATCTTCACTCATCATACGTAATGAATTAGCATCGATCTAAAAACAAAATTTAATATTTTCAGTATGATGTATTTAATTAATTCTCTAAATATTTACAGGGGTAATACAATAGGTTGTACAGAATAACCGAAAAAAGCCTATAATAACTTTAGGTAAGACAGCAATGTCATATGTTGATCACATCAGATTTTTGTATTTTTGTTCACTCTGTACCAATTTGAAACAACGTGTGATACATTTTGGAAATGCAATCCGGAAATGCGAAAAATGGGGTGTTCGATTAAAAATATAATATTAATAAAGACGTCATCACACGAAGGTAGTTCACCCTGTACATAAAGTTATTAGTGTGTCCAACAGATGATTTTCCTGTTATAATTAAGTTATAAAATATGATTTCTTATCTTTCTGGGGCATTTCCTCAATTTTCTCGAATTCGGTCCATTTTAGGGAAATCATGTATAAAACAAAAATTAGAGAAGTAACAGATTCACTGCCGTGTCTCTAGCATTTCATTACTGAGGCGAAGTCGAAGCAATAAAACTAGCCAAGGCAGTAAATCTGTTTCTCTGCCGTATGGAACATATAATTTTTTCTTCTATTATTTATACAGTGTGTTTAAAAAATTAAAACCTCTTTTAAGTATAACGGATATATAATTCACATATAATTTACGTATTTTTATTATTGTTTATTCTAATCGTATTTTATGACTTTTTGATTAAATATACTTACAGGGGGGAAAAATTTAAAAATCTGATGTGTCCAACACATGACTTTCCTATCTAGTTATTAGATACAGGCCTTTTCTGGTTATTTTGTACAACCTATTGTATTTTCTAAGCGTAAATAACGGATATATACCATAAAGTAGCAAAATGAACTCCCATAAAGTACCCCCCCTCCCCCAGATGTTCCGACTATGCCCAATAGCTCACTGCAGGGCAGATTAAAGCCTAAGTTTAAAATTTGGTATTTTTCTCTATATCAGTTTTTGTGTTAGGTTCAAAATTCAAAATTTTCAATATTCCTCAACCAGTCTTGCAAGTACAGTAATACCCAGTAATGATATCCTTTTGAATTGCAATGTACTCCAAAAATAACATGTGAAAAAAGACTCGTTAGAAAGTTTCCTTACAAAAATAAAATACCTACTACAAACTTTTAAAATTGTTCCTAATAACATAGCCCCAAAAAAGAAGAAAATATACAATGTAGTCTGAAATTGTCAAGATTGCTTGATATTAATCTTATCATGATAATTTAGTTGTTAGTTAATCAAACACTCGCCAATATTGTAGCTTATAAAATTCTTTTGTAATTATTATGATCGATAAACAAAGAAATAATAAAAATTATGTCGTATGCTTAGATAATAATCTAAAGCAAGATAAAAGTATGTACCTATTGGTATGAAATAGCTAAACAATAAGAATTGGCCAGGATTATATATTGTCAGTATTCATATCACGGAAAATTCTTTGTGTAAGGTTTTCATGGTTTTATTTAAACTAAATCAAACTTATAAATCTACAAAAATAGATCTATTCTTAAAAGTAATATAAAAATAATAAAATTAGAAAAGTCAAAGTAAGTAGGGATATTTTTAAATTCAAGTAAGTGTAGAACGATTTGTCATGTTGAAGAGATATGATTATAATACGAGGACAATTGAATTCGTTTCAAGACTCTTTCTACAATATTTTAGGTATATCAAGATTTTCGTTAAATGCATTTTTGTAATTAATAGTTGTTTATGAAGCCTGTATTATTTATAAAGCTTATCTAATACGAAAGAAAACAAAACAAAAATGGTCAGAAGTTATATTCA